GAATAACCTGGATTCTGTTCTAATTTGACCATATTTGGGTATTTGTACTGCGCGCGCCGTCGTCAAGTGACGTTCCCGTTCTCTTGCTAAATCAGCCAATTATAGCACATTAACTTAGTCAATAACGAGGGACTTGTGAATCGTACTAAAGGTTTGGTGGAACCTCGTCTCATGAGCCTGCGCGTTTTTCGCCCAGTTTACAATTTTTCCCAGTGGTTTTGGCATACTTTTCCCCTATGATGAAGCCTCGCCCTTTCTCTCAACCGGAAACAGCACCGAGAGAGAGACCCCGGGGACGAGTTGGAATGCGCGCGAACATTCAATCTGTCANATTTAGCCTTTTTCAAAAATTTTTTTCAAAAATTAGAGATAATTCTTCGACCACTATTTTGACCCAAAAATCCAAATTTGAAGAAAATTGCCGACCCGAAGGTATACTGTAACCTTAACTTAGTCAATAACGAGGGACTTGTGAATCGCACTAAAGGTTTGGTGGAACCTCGTCTCATGAGCATGCGCGTTTTTCGCCCAGTTTACAATTTTTCCCAGTGGTTTTGCCATACTTTTCCTCTATGATGAAGCCTCGCCCTTTCTCGCAACCGGAAACAGCACCGAGAGAGAGACCCCGGGGACGAGTTGGAATGCGCTCGAACATTCAATCTGTCACGTGACGAGGAACTGTTTCTTTGAAGCTTTGGAGAGGAGGAGTGAGGAAATAAAGGCTAAGAGTAGCGGGCGTTTTTCTTCAGTTTTGCAAGATAACTTGTATTTCTGTTCAAAAAGGAACACTAAAACGATGGCGAAAGCTTCATCTGTAGCAGATAGCTGGATGAAAGAGCTGAAATGCGCGATTTGCTTGGAGCAGTACAAGGAGCCGAGAGTTCTTCCATGTCTTCACTCATACTGCAAAGCTTGTCTAGAAGGACTGCTACCCAGGGAAGGATTGTCGTGGAGAGTGGATTGCCCATCTTGCTGCAGTAGTGTCGAGGTGAGTTAGGTGAAGTGCGTCGTAGAATCTGTGACATTTTAATCAAATGAGTTTTGATTTCCTCCCGTGATTTCCTCCACACATACCCCCCCGCCGCCAAGTATGAGACTGAATCGATTCGAAGGAAGTGAACCGCTGGAAATTGTGATTTTGATTTCAATCAGTTTATCCCTAGCGAACTTAGATCACAAGTTTTTGTGTTATCGATTTGCGTGGAAGTTTTTGGTTCGTGTGACTTGCGGTATGGTGCCTTGTTTCCGGGGCAATCATCGTTGGCGGAAATTTGTAAAAAGTCGAACGTGTAACCGCTTTTAATGGATTTGCTCCTTTTTGAAGCAAACAAGAAATTGACGTTCTAGAGGAAGAGTTATTAGCAAGGAGTTCAAAAAGGGGGCTTACATCAAGAGGAAGAGGGGAGGGGCAAAATGAATGTGGACCCTTCTCCCAGGAGGAAATACCAATTGAAAATTTGGATGGCGCTGTTCGTCGCACTTCTTGAAACTCTCACCCTGTTTTAGACCAGACCCAAAATTTGATTTCATCCTATTTCAGATCACACTACACTTCACTAAATTATAGAAATAAATTTCTACTTAGAGGGCACAAATCCTACCTTATTTCAGGCCAAAACTTCACCCTTTGGTGCTGCATTAGCATATAACCACTGGGGTGGATACAGAATTTTTGAGAAGGGGATTCAAGATATGGACTGCCGAAGCTGGTCCCCTGTGGGGGGTTCCGGGAGCATCCTGCCCCCAAAAATCTTTAAAATATTTTAAATTGAGGTCCCTTGAAATGGGATTTCCGGCATTCTTTGGTCAAGTCAGCTTTTCTACTTTAGGGGGTTTGGTTGAATCCCCGAACCCCCTCAGATCAACCCCAAACTATATGGCTTATAGAAGGAGGTAACTCCATCCCTGACCCCGCTTTCTTACTCCAATAAGGCAGGGACAGGGAAGGGGGTACCTTTTTCATCACTTTCCTTGGGACCTCAAGGCTTAGGTCTTAGAAAAATTACGAGGAGCCCAAAGGTTCCTAATCATGAAATCCTGGGTGCTCAGCACTTACGCTTATATAAAAAAGTAAGTTTTTCCAGTCGCCCAAGGGCAAATGTCAGTTGCTTGTGGCACCTGGGCACTTCTAGAGCACAGCCCTGGACCTGATATTTTTCTAGCAAAAAAGAAGTGTATGGGGACTGGCCTCCTCCTTTTTTTGAACAAACGCCCTAAGAGATCCAAAGTTGATTATAGCAGTGTAAAATTTTTAAATTTTTTTTTCTATTGTTCCCAGCTTCCTAATGGAGATGTTGATTTACTGCCAGCAAATTTTGTTCTTAACAATCTATTGTCCATGGTCGCTCTTCACTTAAACTTGGGTAGAGGTAATTTTGAGTGTGATAGCTGTGACAGTAGTGATGCCCCTATCAACAGATGTGCTACGTGTTGCCAATTCCTTTGTGAAGTTTGCACTGCAGCACATAAACGGGGGCGTGGCACAAAAACTCACCATCTGATGTCTCTTGAAGAAGCCAAAGAAGAGGGGCCCATTGCTGTTGTTCGTCCATCCTTTTGCAAAGAACACGAAGGAGAGATGCACAAGCTATTTTGCGAGACATGCAATGAGGCTGCGTGTCGAGATTGCACAATCATCAAGCATCGTGATCATAAGTGCATTTTCATTAAGGATTACTTTGCAAAGGAGAAAGATATTATAACTAAAATTCTGTCAGAAACTAAAGCGAAAGCATCCACCCTTCAGGATGCTGTGAGTGGTGTTTCTGAGATGAAGAGAAACGTACAGACCCATGCAGAACAGACTGTGGAGAATGTCACAAATGTTTTTCATGACCTGACAGCTAGCCTCAATACTCGCCGTGAAGAACTGATTAATGAAGTAGAGGAACTGAAAAAAGCTAAACTAAATTCCCTGAATGTCCAGCAAGAGGAACTGGAAATGGCTCTAGGAATTGTTCAAAGCAGTGTCAGATTCACAGAAAAAGCTTTCAAACATGGCAGTGAGGTTGAGATTTTGAACGTGCGTAAGCAAATTTCCAGTAGATTACGAGAATTGAACACAGCTATATGGCAGCTAGAACCTTGTGCTGACGATGCTGTTAAGTTTGAAGCTGACAACCAATTGAAACAGGACATTGAAACTTTTGGTGTCGTCACTAATGTGGTGACGTATGCCAGTGCATCAGTGGTAATCATGGGTCATGGATCTGAGGGTGTGATGTACAATACACTGTGTGGACAGCCGGTTGAATTCACCATAGTTGCCAAAGAGCGTAATGGACAGAAACGAACAGAAGGGGGTGATCTTTTTACTGCATGTTGTGATAATGGTAACGGGGTCAAAATGTTAGATGTGACAGACTGTGGAGATGGTACGTATAACTTCTCATACACTCCAGAGCACGAAGGCCAGTATAAATTGGTTGTGAAGCTGCTTGGTCATGATGTGGTGGGAAGTCCTTTCTCTTGGTTGGTGGAGAAGTGGCATCTTTTGAGTATTTCAGGTAACAGTGAAGGAGATATACAACTGACTGAAAAAAATTTGACAGCTCGGTACAAGCTGGGAGCATCAGGTTTGACTTTTGGAAATGGCTTTGTTAATTCTTTTACTGGTATTTCCCTTCCATCTTCTGGTAGTACTGTAAGTGCTTCAAGCTTAGTGGGTGGTGGTGCATCCAAGAGGTACCATGGTAGCACTGATCGGCCATTTGGTGCCAACAGATGGCCTTATGTCGTGAGTTCTGTTTGTTTCAGCACTGGCAAGCATTCATGCAAGGCAAAACTAGTAGGCAACATCCAGGAGGGATGTAGTTTTGGCATCATAACCTCCAACCAAGGATCACATGGTACACTGGCCAAACTAGGAAACTGGTGGCTGTGGAATTCAACACGAATGAAGCATCTGTGTTGGTCATCAAACATTCCTGTCCAGCAGAGCACTATTGACCACTGCATGAGCAATGACGTCATTGAAATGTACTTGGACTGTGACAGCGGCACTGTTATGATGTACAATCAACGCACCAAACAGTCAGACATCTGGTATGAAGTTCAGGGAGATGTTTGCCCAGTGTTTCACATGACAACTGATGGAGATCAGGTTTCTTTGCTACTTTAAAGCCTAAAAATATCAATTATTTTTGTCCAAAAGACCTGGGGCCTGTTTCTTGAAGGTCCCAAAAAGTTTTCGCACCTGAAAAGCCATTAAGCAAAATCTCAAACCTTATGATTACAGAGCTGCTTTATTTACATAATGTTAATATGACCAGAAGTTTCCTTCATAAAAGAAGTTTCAGGCGTTAATACACCTTTCTATTTTTAGATACAGATTAGCTAAAAATGGCTAAGTTGTGGGCCAGAAATGTTTGCAGGGCTTTCAAGAAGAAGGCCCCAGATTTCAATTTATAAAATCTCCTTATCTCCAAGTTGGGAGAATTTGCTTTGTGAGATTGATTTTCTCTGTGGTATTGATGACTTCTTTTAGGGAATGGAAGTCATTTTAATATGGTATTGCTAAGGGCTACTTAGGATGTTGCATTTCTAATTCTCACCACGTAAATGTCCCAGGTACATTACATGTAAAACTAAATCAAAGGTAGTCAAAAAATTGAACTGATACAATCACTTTTATCAGAGGCATGGCTCTTGGCTGCCAATGCACTGTTACTGACATTCATTGTTAAAAATGTCTATGGTACCTCTTAGTTTTGGAGATGATCTTGACCTTAAGCTCAACTTAGTTTTTTTTTCTAAATTTCAAAAATCATCTCCTTAACTTTAATACAGCAATCAGCCCCCATAGAATTATTTCAAATACACCACATATCTCTTGTATGAGACAACTATGAATAATTTTCTTTTTGTCATCAGTTTGTTAATTCTCATGACCTACAGGCTCAAGATATTAATCCTGTTTCAAGCAAACTTTAGACTTGTTGGCTGAAATAGTTTGTAATCTTTGGAATCATTAAAATAAGGAAACATTTAAAAAAAACATGCCCTCTGGCTTGTGCCATTGTCTTGAACAGTGGACACTGGGCTGAACATGTCGCTAAAGGTCTTGGACAGTGGACACTGGGCTGAACATCTCGGTCAATGTCTTGGACAATGGACACTGGGCTAAACATGTCAGTCAGTGTCTTGAATAGTGAACACTAGTGTGAACATCTTGGTCAGTGTCTTAGACAGTGGACACTGGGCTGAATATATCATTCAGTGGACACTGGACACTGGGCTGAACTTTCAAGGTTCAAGCCCTGGCCAGGTCACTCTGTGGTGTTCTTAAAGTTTTCGTAGTGTCTCGCTTCACCGGCCATGTTAGTGAAAAAAAAAAGAAAAAAGAGTAGAAATTAAATTTGAAAGTAATTATGACAGAGTGTTAGGGAAACCTGACAGGTTGTCAGGGGCATAGTAGCAAAATTACTCCAAGACACTTTATCATGTGGAAGGTAGTTGGATTGTTTGTAACTGAGTTGTTCCAGAAAATATCCATACCACTCCCATGGAGGGTTTTTTGTTTGAACTCCCCTCCCTCTGGAAATTCCAGTTTGGTTTCATACTTTCTGTAAAAAAATTTTGGCTTTTGAGATCCCCTCCTCCTTGGAATTTCCAAAAATCCTCCTTGGGGTGGGTATCGATATTTCCTGGACACACACATACATCATCTTATTTTAGTAGGATACAGAAAGTATTTTACACAGACTTAAAAAGTGAGGAAAGAGTAGTTCATTAGTTCACTTTAGATGTAGACAAAGGAGATTCTCCCTCCTGCCCATATGATTGACTAGCTAACAACTATTCTACAAATTCAAGGTTTAACAGCTTCACGTACCGTCAGTAATAACTGATGCTGACCCAGGGCTGTCATTAAGTTTTGTGTCACCCATTCCTTTGGTCTTCACACCCATAACAAACTTGTTATTTTGTGGGTGAGTAGTATAAACAACAAGGAAGTTTACCTGTGATATCAAGGGCTCATTAAGGATACTCATTCATAGCAAGTGTTATGGGTTACGGCCCTTAAGGACAGCCTTGCTGACCGGTATATAAAAAATGTGTATAAATGAAATTTTGTGTAGAACACCAATCTTGTCTGTTTCCAGAAAATATGCATACTTTCCCCAAAGTTGGTTGCTAGTTAATTTTATTCTGGGTTAGAAGGGGGAGGGATCTCAAAATCAAAACCTCGTAAAAGAAAGAATTTGGCTTAACTGTAATTTCAAGAGGGGTGATGAGGGGTAGAGCCCAAAAAACCCTTTATGGGAGGGTAAGGATATTTCCTGGGGCAACATAGTATATACATCTTACTTTATTTTAGTGTCTAAAAGATTTAGCCTTGAAGCCTAATTGTGGACACTAAATAAATATTAATTAAATGTAGTGTGGACGGAAAACATTTGATGCGTTTTCAGGGTGAAAACATTGCGCTCTGTATTTTTATCTCGTAGGACTTTCTTTTTAGCTCTTTTACTGTTGTAAAGTACTTACAACAGATCTGGATAGGCGCTACAGAAATATCTAATTTTATAATAATTTAGAAAACAGAAAATCCGCGCGTTGATTGGTTAAAAGTCGCGTTTTTATTTAACAATATATTCGTCATGGGTTTTTCCTCATTTGTGAATAAGCTGTTACAGTTGAGCCTTTTGGTATAAAATTTGATTTCTTCTCAGTGTTGAAAATCCTGCAGCTTCTGGTGAAAGAAGTGAACTATTTCAGTGCCTGTCATTTAGCTATGACTCCCGGGTGCTTAGGCTGTTTACCGTACATTAAGGTTTTTCTGAATGGCTGTTTTTCACAAGGACTGGAAACTACCGAATTCACGAATTTGATTGCCTGAAATCGATATTAAAAGCGGTCTAGATTTCCCCATCTAGACCGGCATCTAGACCGATAATGTTTTGTGGTGAAAAAGTTGCCAGCTGAAATTCAAAAATATTGACTATCTTCTTCTAAAAACATTTATTTATGGAAGTACCAAAAAGGCTGATGAGAAAAAAGGTAAAGAGGACCAGCAAACTTTGGTAGAATTAAGTTCATCTCATCGCCGTTCGTAAGCAATATGCCAGCTAGTACAAACCAGGTACATTAACGAATTAAATTTTTCTTGTTTGCCATATAATAAACATCTTATTGACCGAGCTTAGTCGGTCTGTATGGAAGTATCTTGACCGTGTGTACAGACCTCAGTGCGTTCGGTCTGTACTCACGACCCTCCCATACAGACCTCCTGCTCGGTTAATAGGAGCTAATTCTTGACTAAGTCCACTCATATGGCTTTCGATTTAATTTTTTATTGCGTGACAGTGAAAACGCTCTATACTAGTCTATCCGGTAAGGTCTCAAACGATAAGGCAAATGTTATTTCTGACGAATGAGCTTGCGAAGAAGGCCGAAAGAACTATTTTGCCGGCACGGGACATAACGCGGCCTGTGCTCCAGGCCGGTGCATCATGGGTAGAGAGAAAGGGGTATATACGGGGGAGTGTAGCACGTGATAGTCATCTAGGCCTCTGAATCAACCCTGTTCAGAGCTCCGTTTAATTTTTTCATTTTAGTTTTTCAGGTACTGTTACTGCACTATCGACAGTCTTACCTTTGTAAAGCCTCCGTAGGAAAGGCCACCAATCGCTGGAGCATGAGCCATGGTCCAAAGTAGTGGACACCCAAGCCTAACTGGCGTGATATGTTTGTGTACGGGGATTTTTGGTCCATAGTAATGGACACCCCAGCCTAACTGGCATAATATGTTTGTACATAAGATTTTTTTGGTCCAAAGTAGTGGACATCCCAGCCTAACTGGCACGATATGTTTGTATATGTTTTTTTTTTGGTCCAAAGTAGTGGACACCCCAGCCTAACTGGTGTGATATGTTTGTGTACGGCGATTTTTGTCCAAAGTTGTGGACACCCTAGCCTAACTGGCACGATATGTTTGTATATGGTTTTTTTTGGTCCAATGTAGTGGACATCCCAGCCTAACTGGCGTGATATGTTTGTGTACGGGGATTTTTGTCCAAAGTTGTGGACATCCCAGCCTAACTGGCATGATATATTTGTACATGTATTTTTTTGGTCCAAAGTAGTGGACACGCCAGCCTAACTGGCATGACATGTTTGTGTACGGGGATTTTTGTCTAACGTTGTGGACACCCTAGCCTAACTGGCATGATGTGTTTGTATATGGGTTTTTTTTGGTCCAAAGTAGTGGACACGCCGACCTAACTGGCATGACTTCATTGTGTACGGTGATTTTCGTCTAACGTTGTGGACACCCTAGCCTAACTGGCATGATGTGTTTGTATATGGGGATTGGTCCAAAGTTGTGGACACACCAGGCCATCTCCTAGTTGTATGTTGTATGCAAATTTCTTTGCTCTGTAACTTTAAACACGTTATATTTGTATACGCGGGAGTTTTTGGTCCAAAGTAATGGACACTCTAGCCTGAATAGCAGTCAGATGCAAAGCTCGTTTAGTCTGCGTTATGTTCGTGCACGTTCTACGTGTATATGTAATATGCTCGTCAAATACTTATTGTATTCACATCTTCTTTGAAGATGGATTTTTTCCAAGAATCCACAAGGACGGATTGCACAAGTGGTCGGCGATAAGAGTTTATACCCGTCAACGAACAGTTATTGAATGAGTTATGTAGATTCTTAATCATGTAGTTGCTGTAACGTAGTTTGGGTTGGTTCTTGCCAGGCCGTCTCCAAATATACTTATTTGCCTATATCAGCTGTGTATTCACTCGTTGTGAAGTGGAGACAAAATAGACAAAATATTTCTTCATTACTTTCCACTCAGCTATATTCTATGATCCCTTTGGGGCACGTATTTTGAATGTTGTGGGCCCGCCCCTCTCTCCTCGCCCTCCTCGTTCCAGGGCCTTCTCCACTTTTCAAAAAAATCTTCGAGGAGAAGACCCTGGGGACGAGGTTGCCCCGCCCTCTCAATCTTTGCCTAAGATTGGGTATCTCACGTGACGGCAATTTCTGAGAAAGCAGGCTTTCTGCGAATCACAATCTCAGTTGGTCAAGGAACCATTTTGGCGTGATTATAGTGTTGGGGAATAATCCGACTCTTGTCACCGCGAGTTTTCACAGGCAATCTCTTCTGTTACTTCCAACAACAAAAGAAACTTCTAGTTCCTATTTCTGACCAGAGAAGGAACGTCTAAACGATGGCAAAGGCTTCATCTTTAGCCCAGAATTTGGTGAAGGAGTTGGAATGCGCGGTTTGCTTGGAGCAGTACAAGGAGCCTAAAGTTTTGCCATGTCTTCACTCGTATTGCAAAAAATGTCTAGAAGGTCTATTAACGAAACAAGGAGTGGTGTGGACGATAAATTGTCCATCTTGTCGGATTAGTGTGGAGGTTAGTCAGCGAAATGTTTGATTTGTGATCAGTATGCGTCCTTCCCCCCTCACTACCTCACGGCGCGCCCTCTAACTTTATTCTTTGTTGATCGAATCGCTTCTAGTGAAAGCCCGGTCGAAATTGTCATTGTTATATTTTCGTTTTTTCCGTAGTTAACTTGATGTGGTCAGATATTTTAATGGCCACATCTGTAAACATTAACAGCTTGCACGGTTCTGTTGGAGAGGGGGGAGGTGCATCCTGACGTATACTGGAATCTTGAGCTGTAATTACAGATTTACACTGCACTAGAGGCGTGGATTACCCAAAAAGACAATTTCTTAGGCATTTCCAACCTCCCAAACTGAAAGTCTGGGAATTTACTTCCTCTAGCAGTCTTTGTAGTCTCATAAATCCTTGAAGACCCAATTCCTTCTGACAGACATGCCTCAAATAGACCTTTTCACGGTTTCTGTTTCTCCATCTTGCTTGGGGATCAAACATGGCAAAATTTACAGTAAATTGATGTATGGAGACAATGGTGAATCTAATGTCTAACAACTCATGGAAAATTCAAGTTCTGAAGTATCTGTGAATTAAAAAACTTAAGATACTAGGTAAAATAATTTACTGATCAAGTTTGAGGGAAAGAGCATCACTAGAAAAGCCAGAATTAAGGTTTTCATTTCCCCCTACATTTGTCTGCAAAACCGATTGGCAATTCGCAGGAAAATTTATAGATATTTGTATGTAAAAATCACAAATCAAACAGGTTGATTTGTTTTGCTTTTATTAAGCCACTCCAGACTCCAGCCTGAATGGATCATGAAACAAATGTTTGCTTTGAAAATCACCCCGTATTGCATTGCTAAGCTTACTCATTACGTCCTGTTTGCCTACAGTGAGGCATCATGATATTTGTGTATACAAATTATATATTTGATGTCCAGGGCATGCAAATTGGTATACGTCCGGCAAAAATAGACTTAAAAGGACATATGTCCTGCTTCGTAATAAAAGCATTTCCAGCACTGATGAGTACTGTTCGTAGGACATCAGCTGTGCATTGCAAATGTTATTGAAAGTACTGTTTTTTAGGTTTGTACTTAGAGTTTATTAGATGCAAAGTTTTCTTATGTTTCCCACAGATCCCTAAAGGAGAAGTTGATTCCCTGCCAGTCAATTTCTTTCTCAACAATTTGTTGTCCATGGTTTCTCTTCATGGAGATTCTGGGAGTGGTAATCTTGAGTGTGATAATTGTGACAGTGGTGACCCTCCTGTCAATAGATGTCCCACGTGTTGCCATTTCCTTTGCGAGTTTTGCACTGCTGGACATAAACGAGGACGCAGTACCAAAACTCATCGTCTGATGTCTCTTGAAGAAGCCAAAGAAGAGGGACCTGTAGCTGTCACACGTCCATCCTTGTGCAAAGAACACGATGGAGAGATCCTAAAGCTATTTTGTGAGACATGTGACGAGGCTATATGTAGAGACTGCACTATTGTGAAGCATCGTGAACACAAATACACTTTTGTTAAAGATGCTTTCTCAAAGGGCAAAGAGAGTGTGTTGAAAATTATGTCAGAAACGAAAGCAAAGGTATCAGTACTTAAGGAGGCATTAGACGGTGTTGCAGAAGTGAAAAGAAGTGTTCAATCCCATGCAGAACAAACTGTGCAGGAAGTCTTCAGCTGTTTTCAAGAACTTACAGCTTGCCTTAATACTCGCTGTAATGAGTTAATTTGTAGGGTAGAAGAACTTAAGAAGACTAAACTGAAGTCCCTGGAAATACAGCAAGGGGAACTGGAAACAGCGTTAGGAAGTGTGCAGAGCAGCATTGAATTCACAGAAAGAGCTCTGGAAAATGGAAGTGAAGTTGACATTTTGAACATGCGCAAACTAATGTCTTGCCGATTACAAGAACTGAATTCAGCCAAGTGGCAACTGGAACCAAGTGCCCATGATCGCTTTAAGTTTTGCCCTGATGATCAACTGAAACAAGCGTTGCCAAGCTTTGGTGATGTCACTGATGTGTTCACACACGCTGGTTCATCAACAGTAACAATGGGACATGGATCAGAGGGTGTGATGTACAATACACTAAATGGGCAGTTGATTGAATTCTTGATAACTGCCAAGGAGTTGAATGGAGGGACACGAACAGAAGGTGGTGATGTTTTTGAAGTCGAAATCTCCACCCAAGAAGGTGAACTAGTTTTTAATATTCCAGCTGTGGACTGTGGAAATGGCACATACAGTTTCTGTTTTACTCCAGTCCATGGAGTTATGGAGTACCAGTTGTCAGTGAAACTAAATGGTTGTCATGTGATGGGAAGTCCTTTTGCATGGGTTAATGAAATATGGAATCTTTACACACAGGTACATGATGACTACGGGTATTCACATGGCAGGTCCTCTTGCTACATTCAGTTGACTGAGGATAATATGAAAGCAACAGTTCAGCAAGACAGGATAACATATGATGTTTATGATTATCCTCAGGCCGGTTACTATAATTATTGTGTTGATGAAGTTGTTTTCCATTGTGACAGCAAGTGGACAGTTTTTGGATCTTGTTCTTTTGGTTCTGGTAAGCATTCATGGAAAGCCTGCATATCAGGTAATTTCACAGCTGGATTTGCTTTTGGGGTTGGTGGAATTCCACAAAACCAACATCCTCATGATTCCCACTGGACATGGAGTGCGATTAGCAACTGCATGAACAATGATGTAATTGAATTTTACCTGGACTGTGATAATAAGACATTAATGATGTACAATCAACGTACCAGACAGCCCCACACATTGAGGAGAATCCAAGGAGAAATGTTTCCAATGTTTGAATTGTGCTGCATTGGAGATGAAGTTACCTTGCCTTGCCAGCCCAACTCTAGTCAAAAGGAAACATTTGGTGGACATCCATCTGAAGAACCATCATGGTACTAATATCAATACATGTTATAATCTAGTCATTACATTTATAACAATCAGTTGTTAGCTTGTTAGCTTTGGTATGTCCACTGAACATGCATTTCACTGAATCAATGCTCAGGCAGGTGAAAATGATGCATAAGATTTTTGTCCTGTGATAACTTACACTAGTTGGCACATACTAAGTTCAAATGTTTTGTTTCAGTTCAGAGTGCCATGTGGTTTTTCTTCTCAGTGTCAAAGGTTTATACCAATATAACATTTCTTGCACCAAATATCCCCACCCACTGTAGCTGAGGTTGTGCATGTTTTTGAGCAATTTTATATTGGACCCTGGCAGATAGACTCAGTGGGCCAGTCCTCTTAAACAAGAAGTTCTTGTACAATTGGAGCCTGGTCTGCATATAGGGACTAAGGCACCCCCCTCCCCCACTAAAAAAAAAACTTGGAGTGAAGTGAGGCTAGTCTGGGAAGGAAGATCTCCCATGCCCAGTTTGGTTTTTAACTCCCATACTATACTATTCTTAATAGCCTAGGTCTGCATGGCCGCCATACTCACCAAAAGTTGTCATACCTCTAGCAGACAAACAACTGTTTCTTTTCTGCACCATCACTGATAAAGTATAATAACTAATACAATTTAATAATCATAGTTGTATAAATGTCTACCAGCAATCTTTTATGGAAAGCTGACAACACTCTCTAGGCTAACCTGCTATGGACTAGCGTCTAATCCAGCAAGTGTAACAATGCTCTTAGTAATTGCTTTATGCTGTCCCCCTGGGATGAGTTCTAACAGTGCGGGCTGTTTTGTGCAAATGCACCTTTTCAATTAGCCTTAGCCGTGTTATTTTCACTGACTGTAGAAGTCACCAAACAAACAGTCATACATGGCATCGTACAGTCACAGAGCTCTCCCTGCAAATGATCATGTTTTTAATGCTGTGCAGTAATAACTAACTTTGAACACTAAAAATAGCATCAATGCGTATGTTACAGAATGCACTATTTTGTCCCAATAAACTGGTCAACTACATTTCCCTCCTTTTTGGGGCGTTCGTTTCATATTCATTATTGGTGTTATACAAATTTGTAGGGTGTTAGAAATAGTTACAAGAGCGATGAATTTTATTCTTTGATACATTTATAAGGATAAATTTGGTTAGTTTCTTTAAGTTTAAAACATGAAAGATCATCCTAGTTATGTACACAACTTGCAGAGCTAGAAAAATACTTGGATTCCATCTTGCCCTTCGGACAAGCAGTTCTCAAATTTTGCATGCCCTGAGCGAGACTTAGTTTACTGTTTTTATTACTTACTTGGCAGATGACTTCCCTGGGCCTTGCCCAGTGGGCAAGTGAGAATGAAAAGTTACATGCCAGGCTGGAAAATCTACTTGTCCGGGACGACCAGATGGCACTTTTTTCGAGCCCTGAACTTGGGTGGTTGCAAAAATAAACCCTGAAGAAAATTCATTTAGGCTTGAAAGGGTTTTGAACTTGGGACCTCTGCGATACCTGTCCTGACCAGTGCTTTGGTCCAACCGTGCTATCAAGCCTGGTCATGTTATCCCACAGTTCAAATATATGATTTTATTATCACTTACATAGTTTCTTTAGGTGTTGGAGAAAGGTTATTGTAATATTATCTTTATGAACTCGATACAGATAGCTTTTAGGAGGGGCTACATTTGTATGAAAGGGTTAATTTTGGACCCAGTTTTCACCAGATCTCACTTTGTCTGATGCTGAAGAGTTTTGCCAATCTGTGGAAGATTGGAGGAAAAAATGGTGCCCCTCCTGTTGGCAAGGTTTTTGTCATTAGTGTATAAAGTAGCTCATTTATATATATTTTGGAAGTACAGTGTAGTCAATTAATGAACTGCAGTATTAATTTACAATTCTGTATAAAGCAGGTTTTGAATTTTAAGTACAGGTGAAACCATGGTATTGTTTAATTGTACTGTACAAGGTCGTTCTTTCTTTTCTTTTAAATCTCCATGAAACCATAGATTGAGGTTTTTTAAGTTGTACATGTGCATTGCTATGGGAATTAAATTCCATTCCGGTGTTGCTGCATTGTAATTTCAAGGGGTTATCTTTAGGACGTGTGTATACTCTGTAATTCCCAACTGTAATTTACATGTAGTTGTAAATTCAGTCAACCAAAATATTGTACATCAGATATTAGCACTAGGAAAACAAAATTAAAGTTTGTATCTGAAAGTTTGTCCCTCATTAAACAAAGATTTATGTTCTTTTAATATCAATATTGAAATAATCTACATGAAATAGATTCGTGGAGATCAAGAATGGTGTTAGTCAGTATTGCCTCAGAGGAATGATAGAACCCTTAGGGTGGCTCCATAGGGTAATCATTTATGGCAATGTGCATGATAGTATTAGGTTTTAAATGCTGTTTTTGCATTTGTTTTACACCCAGTCCTCTCAAACTTATTACATGTAATAAGCAATGATGAAATAGTGTTTTACTATCATCTCTGTTAAAATTTTGGGTTTTAGTCTTGATTTATAAATGCCCAAGCAAAATGAATACGTTTTTTACTTTTTTTGTATGGCTTCATTTGTGATTTTCTTGAATTTCGTTTGGTGAAATCTTCCAAAATTTTCACAGCACATCTCATCCTGCGGAATTTTAAACAGGAAAAAAGTAGAGTTTGTAAAGGCAGTTTTTTCGAATTTTGCAAATTTATGTCTTTTACTGCTGCGAAAAACTGGGCTTATAGATTTCCCTGAAAAACGAGCTCTGACTAAAGTAAAATATTCACTACCAACCCGCCAAAATTTTAGGGAATTTCACCAAAGGAAATGCAAGAAAATTCACTGTCAGTTTTGCTTTTTGTGCTCATGTTGATGTCATAAAATATCGAAAAAAACACTGATGTTTTCCTTCCAGTGCGCACAGATTACTTGAGCTTCCCACATGCCATCCTAAAACCATAGGGAGCCACCTAACAGCAAGAAATTACGTCACTAAGAGTAAATTAATTCAGATTAAAAAATTAATCAAGATTATATCAGAAATGTTACATGTAGATTTTGGGTTAATGCCTTTGTGGGGTAAACAAATTCGTATTCAACAAATTGTCAAGAGAAAACAAATTTTCTTTTCAGTTTCTACCAGCCCTTTCGAGGTGTCCATCTTCCAACATGTAAGCAGGTTTGTACATGTTGCTGCCGTCGTCATATTTTAAGGCAGGGTTTGGGGTTGTGTTGTGGGTACTTCCCAGTGATGTGTATCCCTCATCATATAAACAGCAGTATGGAATACTGCACTCTCTGATCATAGACCTAGTCTTCAGAGCTGCTTTAATATCTCCCGTCATAGTTATGAGATTCAAATTGTACCTTTCAGTTGTTTCCAAGATAAACTCTTCTGCTTGTGGAAATGGCGAGTCATAGCGAATGTACAAAGCCTTCAGTTTTTGGGGTGGGGGCGACAGCTTATTAACCACAGCATGTAACATGTGCAACAGTACAGTGCAGTCCTTGCCGCCATTGAAACTGATACACAATTCGTCCAAGGAATACAGCTGTAGGGTTTGCTGTATAATGGCCCATGCTCCTTTAACACAGGCGCTCGTGTTTGACTCATCCTTGGGATCCAATAGGTGATAGACTTTTTCCATGTTCAGTACCTGCTCACAGTCGTCATTTGGAGGTTGACTGGGTAGACCTGTTAAAAAACAGAAAATAAAACATTTACATGTTGACCAAGTGATATGTGCATAACAGCTGTTGACTGGCTTGGGTACTCATTTGAAACTTTGACATAACCCTGCTATCTGAAAAACAGTTTAAGATGGTGGGGGTTTAAATAGCTGATTCTAAATGACTGAAAAAAGATATCCAAGGAAAAATTATTTGACTTTGAGAGAGCTGTGGATTTGAGATAACTCAGAGGACAAGATATTAAGGTTTAATTAAACACAACAATATACAGTGTTGGTATCAGTTCCCCCATCATCCCAGAATCCACCTTAGGAAGCCAAAGAGAAGGACATAACTACATGAGCAGTTAGTATTTCTGGGTGTTAAATCTCCTCTGATCTGTGATCAAGGGGCAGAGGAGAGAGATGGGAGGAGGGCATGATCCTGTGGCTACACCTTCCATCTTACTTCACCATCCCATCGGGAAAACCTTTATTTTGTGATAAATTATTTTTCCCTTGGGAAGGCAAACTCAGTAATACAAGACTTACAATTTGGTATTGATGCATCAGCGATACCTCCCACTGTCTTCACAATAAGGTCCTCAGGCAATCTTGCCAAAAGGTAGTGCCAGGCCTCCTCCAGGCCATTCACGCTATCAGACTCGACAGTCAACTTGACCTTGAATTCTTGATTGCAGACATTGGGGTACGATCCTAAATGTACGATCCCTTTAAATTTCTCATCAACCTCATCCAAACTAGAAGCTATAGCTGTTTCGTCTGCCGAGAGGAAAATCTTTCGCAGGAAAAACCGTTTCTTGGAGTGCGAAATTAATAGAAGGCTTTCTAAAACGCCAAACTCTTCTTCCAAGAACTGGGGGACACCAGGGAATATATACACGTTATGTGCATAAATAAGAGGAAAATTGCTCGGTTCCCCAGACGAATCTTTTCCATAAGACAGCTTGACTGAGGAAGGGACACGGGCCATTTTCAGATGGGACGAGTTGATTTGATGTTCTGAAAGTTCATACACACCCGAAATCAACCTCACTAACTCTTCGTTGAGGACTACATCTTCCTCAAACGCTTTGGCGATTCCCTGCATTGTAACATCGTCGTGAGTAGGGCCAATTCCACCGGTGGTAATGACGACGGAAAATCGAGAAGAGAATTTTTTCACTTCACCAGCAATTTCATCCACATCGTCCGAAATGACCGACACTTTTCCCACCTTGACTCCTAAGGACCACAGCTTCTTCAGTAGAAAATAAGAATTCGTATCTTTTGTATGACCCTTTAAAATCTCGTCTCCAATAATGATGATTCCGGCTGTACATTTGAAGTCATCTTGCATCACTTCGTCCGCCATTTTGATTTGACCCTCCAAAAAAAAGATATCACGTGACTATAACCTTTGGCAACCGAGTCAAACAAAGATGGCGGACTTTTTGCAAAATTTGCTAGACGAGACAAACATTTGCGAGGATTCGCAGATATAATTTTGTCCAGAACTGCACGTGAAAAAGTGGATCAGTTCCCGTTAGTAAGTTGTACTTTTTCTCTTGTTATATAAGAGTAGAGAATACTGGGTTATTTTGTAGTCAGAATTGACTTTTGCAGGCTGTGACTGCAGTGGGCGCGAATTCCAAATTTTCTACTTATCAACGAGCGTTTCACTCATAGCTTTCTTTTGTGAGATCGTGCTCACGTGAACTATAAACCCACTAAGCTGCACGCCGATGATTAACTCTTAAACTTATTGATTGGTGATACTGGCTAAAAATTTAAAGCCTTGCTCATTTCACAGTCAATTGTTACCAGTACAGCTTAATTTTTGGTGCTTTTCTTAGCTTTTGTGATGGATTGATCGATTCTGCGAAATATATTTTTATTGCCGATTTTACGTTTACAATTAGTGATTTGCAGCAGAGCTTGCTGAATTTTTGAAAGTAAGAATTGCTTCAGGCCAGAATCAGATATTTTTTACAATTCTGTGGCTCTGAGATTTGAGCTTAAGCTTAACTCACTAATTCA